AAGCGAAGAGGGTCAGAAAGACAGAGAATCGATAAATCCGGATGGTACCAAAGGGAACCGAAAGGAAATCTCCTCAGGGGAAAACTCGGGGAAAGTCGGGGGAAGCAGGCAAGGGACTCAGGAGACCAAGGAGGGCAGAAATAAGGATAGGACAAGCCCCCGGAATTCAGAAGGAGCTGTGTCTAAGAAAGTGAGGGTCCCGGATGCGAGGTGCAAACTAGCGGAGATAGAAAAAAGGACCGCGGAGTACAAGGCAAGACCGCGGAGTACAAGGCAAGACCGCGGAGTACATGGCAAGACCGCGGAGTACAAGGCAAGGCCCTCTGCAGGAAGAACGTGGAACGAACGGAAAACCGGCCGAGGCGGAATTGGGCAAGGGGATAAGGGTAGTGACCGTGGGGGAACACCGAGCAAAAGAAGGAAGGAGAGAGAGAACTCCCTGGGGATAGAGTCAGAGAAAGCTACGAACCCACCAACTATAGATAGCAGGGCGAGCCGTCTGCCAACTACGCCGGCAGTAACACGAGGATGTGAAGAGCTCTGGAGCCTTAGGGAAAGGGTGTTGGGATGGTTCGACCCGGAAGGGACTTCAAAGACTAGGGAGGGACAAAAGGCCGGCAAGGAAGGGCAGGATACCAGTATGGCAGGCCAGGCTAGTAGCTCCGAAGGCGGCCTTAGGAAGATAGTATCGTCCCTCGCGCGAGCACTGAACAAAAATCTGGGCTACCTAGCGGGCGCTAAGAAAAAGTTGATGTTTGACTGGGCGAACATCACGGAATTCCTAATAGATTACGACAATCTGGCCGCATTGTTGAAATGGACCGAAGAAGAAAAGATGGACCACCTGGGGCAGCATGTGACTTTGAGCCTGGGGCGGGACATACAAGCCATCGTAGCCGCGAGTCGATCCCGGAAGGAAACCCGGGATGTAATGATGAGAAAATACTTGGCAGCGGAGAAGATGGCAACGTAGGCCAACTTAGCGGCAGTCCAGAGAAAGAACTTTGCAACGTCCAATGACTTCCTACGAGAGTTTACCCTAGTCGCACGAAGGATCCCCAGGGTTACGGACCGGATAATGAGCAAATACTTCCTCAGGCAGTTCTCCGAGCTCGACAAGGACAAGATCATGTCGGCTTACCAACAGACGAGCAAGTTTGTAAACACCAGGGACGTTGATTTTAGCACGGTAACGGATCTGGCTGAGAAGACAGTAGTGACCGAAACATTGGGTTTGCTTAACGAAGGGGAGGTCATAGATCTGACTAGTAGGACAGGCGACAAGGTGAAGAAGGGGATTGAAAGTCTACATGAACAGATGCACAAAGTCGACAACAAGATTGAAAGGGTGAAGAACGCGCCACTGGTTATGCAGGCACAAGTATCCCGACCCGCCCTCCCTCCCCAGGAAGCCATAGTTCCGCCAGGAGTAGCCAATCAAGGATTCGAACGGAGAGATCCCGCTAATGAGCAATGCAAGTACTGCACTTCGGTGGGACATTTTGTGCGCGCATGACCAAAACTCAACCATGATATATTAAAATGGAGATGTACCAGGTCGTTAAAGGGAGAGATATTCCGGCCGCATGGAGAACGGGTGAATTGGAACTCGCCAGGGGGGATACGGCGAGCTATTATCATGCTCAATGGGCTAGAGATAGCGGTCGTAGAGGCTGAGCCGGTGGTCGATATCATCTGGGATCAACTTCGGGGCCGCGGGCCGCAGGTCAACTTCATTCTGGAAAACGACGGACGTGATAGGGTGAATGCGACTACTCGGCTAGGGACGGATGGGAGAAGGATTATCCGTGACACCGTGATGGAGGAGGTCGCTGGAAGCTCCGTACCCCAAACAGAGCCCGAGGCCGAGGAACCAGAGAAAGTCTATGGGAAGCCCAGGGGAGAGGAGCCTACGAACAAAGTTGCCGCTGCTAAAAAGAAGTTTAGGTATCAAATCCCGATCTTAACCATGCCTGAAATCGATCACACCCTTAGCAAATTACTGGGAACCATGGTGTCGGTGTCGTTTCAGACGATGCTGAAGGCCAGCCCTAGGTTGCTCAAAGAGCTTAGACAACTGTTGACTCGACGGCGAGTAGAGATAGACGAAAACCACGAATCACCGGAAGAGGAAAGAGAGGAGGAAGCTCCGCAAAAAGTCGCTAACCTTCAAAGGAGTGGGATTTGAAGGATCTCAAGAAAGTCTTTGCGGACATCCGCCTGAGCCTGCCAGGCTGAGAAGGTGGCGAGGTCATGAGGGCACCTCCCGGAACAAAGCTCAGCTTCCATGCGCTACCCATAGGAAAATTGAAAATCCAGATCGGGACCCATCATACCGGCGCATTAGTAGATGGGGGAGCGAAAATCACTCTCATAAGGAGGGATTTCGCAGCAATCACGGGTTGTACGGTAAATAAGGAAGTAACAGGGAGCATCCGGGGAACCGGTGGGGAAATCCCGTTCGCTGGGTATGTCACGAAATGCGCAGTCAAAGCAGGAATCAGGGAGTCGATCTAGTCGTTTCAACGGATGACAGTAATGGAGGAAATGGACCACGACATAATCCTCGGGAGACCGTGGTGCGCAAACGTAAAAATGATAGGCATGCACTTGCTTGATGGCACATACATGGTAGACATAGAGGACCAAGTGACAGATCGGGGAGAGCTCCTCCGACTCGGATGGGAGGAGACCCTCCGAAGGGGAAGCTAGCAACATGGTCACCATCTTTCAAAGATAGCGCGCGGAAAAGGGTTTTTGTGCGGATGGAGGGCATGAGAGAAAGGGTAGAAATCATGATCGAGGAAGCATTCAATAAGAAGGAATGGATCAAGATGGGCCTGCCCCAGAAGAAGAGGAGGCAGGAGGACGAAGTCTTAGGTGTTATGGTGGCAGGAAGGGAATCGGAAGTCGAACTCGGAGCCAGCCTGCCCAAGCGGAAAGAAGTGCGCATGAACGTGCCAGAAGTCGCACTCGAGATTCCCGATTTTTTACAACTCATCAAGGCTATCAGATATCCCAATGTAAGAGTGGACCCGGCGACATTGGCCAAATTCGAAGGAGAAGTGCAAAAGGGATATTGTGTGAATGGAAAGTTAGTCAGTATTCAACCACGAGTCGTAGAAGCGACAAGGGTAATCCCGACCGTTCATTTTTTAGGAGAAAGATCCCGGAAGGAAGTGTTCGAAAGTACAAGCCGGTAGGGAAGAAAGCAAAACCGGTCTTGATCCTGCTAGGGACATCAAAGGAAGAGGCTATGGGGAAGGAGGAGGAAGTCCTCCGAGTGATTCGAAAGAGGCGACCAACGGAAGGGCATCGGATACCAGATGAGGTAGCTGATACAATGAAGATAGGCGTAGAGGGATTCTTAGCGGAAGCAGAAACCCGCCTGATGAAAAGGACCTGCCAGGAGTTTCAGCTGACATTTGCCTTTAGTGATCATCAGAACGGGCGGTTAGACGTGAAGCGAATTCCTCCAGTCGGAATCAACACGGTAGAGCATGAGTGTTGGAATGACAAGGGTCCGTCCTATGAATTTGGGATAGCGGGGGAAGTGACAGACCTTCTTCGAGCAAAGATGAACTCCTTCGTCGCAGAACCTACGGCGTCACCATACGCGAACCGGTGTTTCGTCTTTCGGAAGCCCAACAAGACGCTAAGATGGATTCAGGATCTGCAGAGGTTGAATGCGGTAACCATCCGGGATGTTGGCTCGCTGCCTCAGGCCGATTTATTAGCAGAGTCGCACGCCGGCCGAAGCATTTACTCCCTGATAGATCTGTATTCAGGGTACGACCAGCTTCCATTGAATGTTCGGGACAGACCGTACACCGCAATGCACACCTCCGTAGGCTAGTTGTAGATGCAGGTGACCCCTATGGGCTTCACAAACGCGGTAGCCGACGCGCAACGGAGAATGCTCGCCGTAGCCGGGGATATGTTCCCAGAGAAGTGTGAGCCCTACATCGATGACAACCCGATCAAAGGCGCCCAAGAGAAGGACGATACGGAAGTCCAGCCGGGAATCCGAAGATTTGTATGGGACCATCTACAGGAAATCAAGGACTTACTCCGCCGGTTCCTAGTATACAACATCACGGCTAACGGACCTAAGAGTATTCTAGCAGTACCAGAAGTAACCATATTAGGGTTTCGCTGTGGCGCATACGGTAGGAAGCCAGATCCGGCGAAGACTGAAAAGATATCGCAGTGACCGACGCCCCTGCGCACGACAACAGAGGTAAGAGCATTCTTAGGCGTGGTCGGCTTTTGGAGGATTTTCATTAAAAGCTTTGCCAAGATTGTTGAGCCTATCCGGGCCATGATCAGAGAAGAAGGGACTATGGATTGGACGGAGGAGCGGGAAGGAGCAGTCCAAACCCTCAAGGATATACTGACGCCTGAGCAAGTCGCCTTGTCCGCACCCTGCCTTAATGACGAAGTGGGACGACCATTCATCCTAGAAACGGATGGAGGACCCTTGACCGTGGGAGGCGTACTGATTCAAAGGGATGAGGAAGGAAAAGAGAGGCCAATTAGGTTCGAAAGTAGAACCCTGAACTCCGCAGAATGGCGGTACTCACAGTTCAAGAATGAGGTCCTAACCATATTGCATTGCCTTGATACCTTTCAGGCCTACCTGTTTGGGAGGCGGTTCATCCTAAGGATCGATCTGACGAATGTCGCAGGGGCCTTAAAGAATTACAGGCCTATAGATCCGACGGTGGGGAGATGGGTAGGATTTATTTGGCAGTTTGATTATAAGATCGAACAGATTGCTGGAATCAGAAACAAGGCCGATGGGCTGAGTCGGGTCTGCATCACTCCCGAAGGAGTGGAGGATGCGGAACCCATAGACACATTTCTCGAATACGAAGGAGGAACTTTTGCGGTGGATAACGAAATGATGGGCGAAGAATGCGCGTCGGGAGAACTACTTATCCGGACTTTGGAGAAAGGGGCACCTGCCGTAGTAGCAGAACTTAGAAAAGGACCAGTCACCACTCGAGGTCGCAAAGAGGAGAAAGATTCGTGGGGAGCGATAGTAGGACCAAAGGAGGAACTAATAACAATGACGGGTGAGGGAGGTCGCGAAGCAGTAATGAGCTTAGTGGAATCTTGGGAAAGGAAAGAGTTGCGGTGGATGGTAAACCAGGTGCAGGAGAGAAAGGATGAGGACCATGAAGGGAAGAAGTTTTTCTTTGCCCAGATATACGAAGGGATATTTCGGGAGATTGGGTTGTTGCTGGTAGGAAACAAACAACCCATGGAAGTCAGCATTAAAGCAAGGGAGGAGGCCGAGAGGGGCGGTCATCTGTTCCGAAGAGAGGAAGGTGCTATGCCTAGAAGAGTTGTGTGCGGGAGACCTAGACAGTTGGACGTGATCTAGGCAATGCACGACGGACTAGCAGGAGGACATCGATCGTCCAAAGGAACCCTTGTGAAGATAGCGCCACTCTATTATTGGCCAGGCATGGCAGGCATGGTCGCCACGTACTGCCAGACCTGCCTAATCTGCCAAAAACGGAGCTCGGCACGTGTCTTTGAGCCGCTTAGACCAACGCAGGTGCTAGGGCCGGGACATCTGGTCCACCTTGACCTTGCAGGCCGCCTGTATCAACGGATGGGTACAGGTATATCCTGGATGCGCGAGACAACTTGAGTGGGTTTATGGAGGTGGTCTCTCTCAAGAAAAAGATAAGGAGAAGTGTAGCGGACTGGATAAAAGACTTCTACTTGAGGCATCCTTTCGTCAGGAGGTTTATAGCGGACAATGGAACATAATTTGTGAACCAAGAAGTATTGGGAATGCTTAAGAGGCTCCACGTGCCGATCAAACTCATCGAGCCATATCACCCGGAGGCCAATGCACCTGTGGAAAGAGGGCACCGAACCTTAAAGAACACGATTGCGAAGCTCGCAGCAGACCATCTGGGGAGCTGGCCTAGGTATCTTAAGAAGACTATCTTCTCGGAGAACATGACACCTAAGAGGACAACGAGATGTATCCCAGCAGAACTTTGGTACGAAAGAGAAATCGACTTTCCCGTGGAAGCCTTGATACCTACCTGGAACAGGTTAGATGATGATCCGCGAATGACCACGGAAGAGTTAATTGAGGCGAGGTGTCAACAAGTCCTTAAGAACGAGGAGGTCATGGAAGACGTCGCCAACCGGGTACTAGACAGCAGAATGAGGGACAAAGCAAGGTGGGACCAGGTTAAGAATGTCATGAAGGAGCCACTTCAGGTAGGGGAGACAGTATTGCTAAGGAACTCGGCACTAGAAAGTACTTGGTCTGGACAGCTGGGGAGGAGGTTCAAAGGCCCCTACCGGGTCGCCAAGCGGGTGGGACTGAACACCTTCGAGCTGGAAGATCTGGATGGAACTGGATTGAAAGGACCCCGGGGCAACGATTGGTCAGGTTTCTAAGTCGGGACCCGGTGGAACAATGGCTTCAGGAGGCTGAGGATAAGGAAACTGAGGGGCTACAAGCTGAGGACTGACAATGGCCTTGCCCACACTATGGTTTGTCTCTGACTGCATCCGTGGGACTGTCATTTTTTGGGGCCGGGGCAATGGTTTGGACTGACTGAGGTTGGAAGGCAGGATGACTTGGAATTTTGCGATAACGGGTTTTGTGTGACGACGGGAAAGATTGTGGGAAATATTGTATCATAGTTTTTGATGGGGAAATAATGGGATCATCACAAACGTGGCATTTGCATGAGAGAAGGAAATGTATAACAGTGGCTTGATGCGAAGGATACTGGGAGCATTCTGGGGAAGGGGGGCTGCCTACCGGACTGGGGAAACGGGTGTATGGGGGGATGGCGGGTGTTGTTTTGTTATACAGGACCAAGAAAAAAAAAACACAAGAAAAAGTGAAAATGGAATTCGGCAACGAGAATGACAGCGGGGCGATCAACAGGCCTACTGGAGGGGAAGAAGCGGGACCAAGTCGAGGGAGGAGGACGACAAAGAGAAAGTTGTACATAGGGCTCATATCCGGGCAAGTTGTAGGCAGGGGTGCGAGAAAGCGAGTATGTAGAGGACCCTCGCCCCTCCGGAAGGGAGAAGGTATATATATCCCATCCAACAGTGAGAGCGAGGAAGAGAGGGCGAATGTGGGAGAAGGGGGCAAAGCAGATATGAGAGAAAAAGTTCACGCCACTGACGAGGAAGGGGCCAAGAAATGCGAGCAGCGTGAGTCTTGGCGCGGGGAAAGCGAGGGGAGACAAGACATGCGCGATGAACGTGAGGATGGGGAGGAAAGAAGGGAAAACCCGCTTGAAGAGCGGAACGGCCACGACAATTGTGAGGGGAGGTATCCGGACTTTGAAGAAGGATATGGAGTGAGGACAGAGGTTCCATATAGCTACGATTCAAAGAACTTGACGGGTGGGTATAGCCCCATACAGACGGAAGAAGAGGAGGATGAGGAGAAGGAAGTACAGGAGGTCATAGAGATCAGCAGTGGGGATGAGAAGGATGAAATCTCGAGGCCTAGAGAAGAGAGGCGGCCCCCGATACACCACCCGCGCGAAGTGGCCTTTAGATGGGAGGATGAGTTTGGGCCAACACCCAGCCATTGGTTTCAACTGTGGCTCGGTGTGATCAAGCACGAGTGAATTATCAAAACTCGGGAACTCGCAAAGGTAGGGTGGTGGCCACACCTTTGGATTTCTACAACGAGATGGAGTTACGAGAGATTGCAAGAAGAAGGAGAGAGATCATGGTCTCCGGCCTGGGGTAAAAGAGCCAACAGAAAGACAGGACGAGCAAGAGAGCGAGCGAGTTGAGGCACATGGCAGCAATAGGGATCAAATGTTGATTAAGTGCTAGACAAGAAATTGTGATTTCTTTTTTTTGCAAATATGGAATGACAGGGTTTGTATAGTATGAGTAAGCTTGTGAGGAATGCGGGATAAAATGACGAGCTAAGACTGTGTCACGATAAGTTAGAAGATAGCATATTGAGGCTACTTTCTGGATGAGCTACCGTTGAAAGTGTGTAGATAAGACAATGATACGGGGCATGGGATGAAACCAGTTGGGAAGGGTGTATTGTGAACTTTGGATGGAATGAGGATTGTGCGATTGACAAGAGAAGCCGTGAGTACCGATTGACGACGTGAATGTTGGTCGACTACAAGAGAGGTTAGGGAACCTATGGGTTAAGGGGCGTGAAGAACACTCCTTCCCTAGGAGCCTAATCCAACTGAGTTTTGAATGAGTCTGAAAATAGCCAAGAGCTGAGAAACCAGAAAGACTGAAAATAGAGAGGGGTGCCCCGGTCTTTTGCTATGGTTGAACGACCAGGTGGGCTAGTACTGCTTGAGGTCGCAAGCCCCAACCCGAGTACTAGACGCTAAGTCGGATGTATGCATGGATAAGTAAATTGCCTTGAGAATGGATGAAGGGAACCGCACGCAGAAAACTGAAAAGAGATGGCCACCTTCTAACCTCCGAGACAGAAATGGGATCCGTGTCATCGAGGCCCACCTCCTCGGGCGCTAACATTGAGAATGGAAAGGAATGACCCTAACCAGGCTGTTCAACTTGAGAAAGGAAAGGAATGACCCTAACCAGGCTGTTCAACTTGAGAATGGAAAGGAATGGCCCTAACCAGGCTGTTCGACTTGAGAATGGAAAGGAATGGCCCTAACCAGGCTGTTCGACTTGAGAATAGAAAGGAATGACCCTAACCAGGCTGTTCGATTTGAGAATGGAAAAGAACGACCCTAACCAGGTTGTTCGGAAATGGCTCCTTACAAGGGTCATTTCTTTTGAAATAGGCACTGGGGTCCCCCTGCATAATTGATTAAGAAAGGTTGATTGAGAATGAGTTGGAATCAGCAATGAGAGATAGAAAAGGCCGGTGGGTCGGTCATTGAAATAACAATAAGGATGGATGAAAGAGAATGATGCGTTGAAAATAGAAGGGCAGGACAAAGAAGGCAGGGACTTAAGACGAGAAGGGCATAGACCATTGGGACGGTCATAAGGATTGAATATTGAGGAATGTGGAAGTTGAGGATTGAAGGTGGGCCGAAGGGTCGGTCTTGAGAAATGGCTATTGAAAGAGCGACCACCAGATCGGTCATGTGGGGTGACCTTGTTGATGAGAGGCTGTCGGACCAGCCATGAGAATCACCTGTGAGAAAGGACTGGAAATGGCATTGGATTGAGTGATTGCATATTGCATTGCATAAGTCAGGGGACCCTAGGCGATTTGATGAAAGGTCGTCGGGCCGACCACGGAAATGGTAAGAGATTGAGTTTTCCTTTCTTTCTAGTCTCAGGCCTCAACGTAAGGGGGATAGCGATGCATGCACCCCAACCCGAGGACCTCTACCCGTCAAGGGAAAGTCTCAGTGTGACCTATTCCTCATAAGGAAGGATAAGGGTTGAAGGACCAAGGCATCTTTCTCTTTGATTGATGTTGGAAGTCTGGAACTAACTCTGCCAACGAGCTCTAGTCGGGGAGTTCAAACTGTGCCTCATGTTGAGAACCTAAACGTCAAGGGCGTGGAGCCAAACGAGCAAGAGAGCCATTATTTTCCTAAGTTTCCTTTTTTCTCCCCAACCACACACCATGCCATAGAGGGGCAACGCGACCGTTTGGGATGGACCAAGGCTGCTCGCATTAAGTTGAGCGGCACTGTCCAGAGGGAGGGGTCAGCCGTGGTACCGGGTGGAAGCCGCAACCACCACAGGGCGAGTGACACCTCCCTGCCGAATCATTACAACCGTTCCGGGACTAACCGCGAGGTCTTCGTAACTGCACTCGCAAACTAATTGAGAGCCCCAACTCTCTTGAAAGGAAGAGGCCGGATCCAAGAAAACACCACTCGGGAGGAACGATTCGCGAGAAAGCCTTTACGGCAAGACGGGGTCCTGGGAGGTTTTGGACTGGACCTACCTGCCAGATGTGAGGAGGTACCTCAGTAATGACGCCCGTCTCGTAAGCGGCAAAAGATCGGACTAAGTAGAAGGATGAGGTGTTACCTGTCGAGGAAGGCCCGATCACCCTTCCTTCTAGGAGCAGGTGGACCATTGTTCTTGACTAAGTTGGTGGGCCAAGGTCTGAGTATCTCCAAGTAAGAATCAGTCGTGCGATGGGGACATCGCATTTTGAGTGGGGGGAAGGTGTGTCATCTACCGATGAAAAACTGTACAAAAGAGAAGGTTACCATGAGCTCAAGAAATTGTGTAATTGATTTTGCGCAGGCTTGAGAAAAGGTCTTACAAGATGTACAGTAGAAAAATGCTTGTGTAATTGACTTTGCTCAGGCTTGAGAAAGGGCCTGACAAGATGTCCAAAAGAAAAATGCTTGTATAATTGAATTTGCGCAGGCTTGAGAAAAGGCCTAGCAAGATGTCCAGAAGAGAAATGGATGAGTAATTGACTTTGCGCAGGCTTGAGAAAAGGCCTGGCAAGATGTACAGAAAAAAAATGCTTGTGTAATTGACTTTGCGCAGGCTTGAGAAAGAGTCTGGCAAGATGTCCAGAAGAAAAATGCTTGTATAATTGAATTTGCGCAGGCTTGAGAAAAGACCTAGCAAGATGTCCAGAAGAGAAATGGATGAGTAATTGACTTTGCGCAGGCTTGAGAAAAAGTCTGGCAAGATGTCCAAACGAGAAATGGATGCGTAGCTGACTTTGCATGAACTTGAGAAAAGGTCTGGCAAGATGTCCAGAAGAGAAATGGATGAGTAATGGACTTTGCATAAGCTTGAGAAAAGGCCTGGCAAGATGTCCAGAAGAGAAATAGATGCGTACTTGACTTTGCATGGGCTTGAGAAAAGGTCTGGCAAGATGTTCAGAAGAGAAATGGATGAGTAATTGACTTTGCATGGGCTTGAGAAAAGGTCTGGCAAGATATCCAGAAGAGAAATGAATGAGTAATTAACTCTACGTGGGCTTGAGAGAAGGTCTGGCAGGACGTCCATAAGAGAAAGGCATGTGTAATTGGTTTTGCGTAGGCTTAAGAAAAGGTCTGGCAAGACGTCCAGAAGAGAGATATATGTGTAATTAACTTTGCATGAGTTTGAGAAAGGCTTGGCAAGATGTCCAGAAGAAAGATGCGTATGAAATGTACTAAGAAACGCGCATTTGAAATTAATTGAGCTTGGGTACAAGAAAGGTCGAATGAGGGTGACATGCATGCGAAATTGGCAGGGATAGAGAAAACCAGGCAAAATGACATGGAAAAAATACATGTGAATTTTGCTAAGCATGAGATTGAGGAAAGAATGACGGGAGGCGTGGATTGCACGGGCCGAAAAGCCGAGTGAAAGAAGCAGTGAGGGCAACCTGAGCCAAAAAAGGGACGTGGTTGGCACGGGGTGGATGGAGGAACAACAAAAGGGCGCTTGGGATGGCAAGGCTCGGGGAGAAGCAGGGGCAGCAAAAAAAGGGAAGTTGAAGGGAGACTTGGTTGACTTCGGGTAATGAATGAGACGAAAGGAGGTTGATGCTCCGAGGGTGATGAACGAGACGAAAGG